GATTATCCATTTTCGGATTAAATCATCAATGAGCGTTGAGCAGGAAATCCGATTCAAATCCAGTGAAAATCCGACACATAAGATGATATTGGGAGTTGATTACGGTCTTTTCATGCTAATAAATGTCTGATTAATAGTTTATATAACATTTCAGGTCCAAAGAAAGACCTGCAATAGGCAGATTTAGCTCTTTCATAATGTAAATGAAATGAAATGAAATGAAATGGGGTTTAACGTCCTACTGTTCTGCTCCTAACCTGGGCTAATGAAGACGGGCATACGCCATACAGTGTGCTATGAGGGAAATTTTGCCCGGACAGCGGCACTACGGCCTACTCTTATATCGAATTCCAACTGCCAAGGGATCTTTTACGTGCACGCCAATGTGTACACGGGACCTCGGTTTTTCGTCCCATCCGAACGACTAGACAGCTTTCCTTGTCAGCCCCTCCGTCCTGCATCACTGACAAGGGAGAACCACGCCGGAAAATCTGGATGAACTTTCTCGGCCAATGCAGGGATCGAACACCCGACCTCCAGGCTAGCGAGCTAGCGTCTTACCCACTTAGCCACGTGATCCCCTTTTCATAATGTATGTTTAACAGGTAACTCTGATGCTCTTTCTTGGAGATGCTTATAATATGAAGCAACTTTACCGGACTAGCAATTTCGTTTGGGGGATTTAAAACATTCATCATATTGCACGAGATGTGCTTTTGAAAATTGGTGTAAATTTTGAATTTCGAAGATAGTTCTATTTGATTTTTATTACATTGTTTACATAAACGTGCATGTGGCGGAAAATTTTTATAACAACCACGCTCTATCTCGAGATCGTGTGTGCTAAGCCAAATCAAAGTCAGTGCATCTTTATGGGCCTTTGACTTAATTCATTGCAGATAGAATGGTATCGCATAAAAATCTGGCTTACGTCCGAAGTTTATGGATCGATCGACAAAATTGTTTTCGGTGGCAGATTTTATTTCACTATTTTTTTTAGGTCATTTTGTTCAAGTTCAAAATATCTGGTTAAAATCACAATCCTATGAACGATTTTCTTGAACCAGTAGTTTTACAAGAAAGTTCATAATCCGCTACAAATGTCATGTCAAGGAGTTTGTTTTTATTACCTGAGAAGAATCTTTTAAATTAAAGAAGCTTGCGCTGATACATATGTATACATGTATGTCCAGAGACATCCCATGTTACTGGCACACTTAGGCATATTTAAAATGGATATGTTGATCGTATTTCTATTTTCTTAAAATTTATTCCCCATCTGTTAATATTAATTATGTTTTTGTTTTTGATAATGTATGTACCCCAAATCCCTGTCCCATAAAGGGCTATCTGCTTAACAATAGAATGATAAAGTTTTATCATTACTGTACAGGGCAGGGATTCAGTACAGCATAGTTTTTGTTTTATCGCATACCACGCTTGTCAGGTTTTTTTTTTAAAATTTGGTCACAAAATGCTGTTTTAAAGCTAGAATTATTAGTAATCATTAATCCAAGATAATCGTACGTTCCGGTATTTTGAAGTATGATTCTTTGATCAAATTTAGGGTAGGGGGTATCCCTACTGAAAGGGTTGCCATCAAAGTCGGAAAAATAAGCAAGTACTTTATTTTTCACGACTTTGGAGTGCTCTAGAAACACCATCATTGTGTCTAGAAGTCTAAAAATTGCAGTATCTCAAAGATACATTAGTAAGCCTTAAAGTTGGTGTCTTGTGAAAATGCCTATTTTGGTTGTCAGTTTGATTATGTGGGACAAGCCTGGGAGTATGCAATTTTTAGACATCAAGACACAACAATGTTGTTTCTAGAGCACTTCAAAGTCGTGAAAAATAAAATAATTGCTTATTTTTTTTTTTTCAACTTTGATGGTAACTACAGTAGGGATACCCCCTACCCCAAATTTGATCAAAGAATCATAATCTATGTATGCAGTTCTATTACATTGCCAAGTTTCTAGACACTTTAGAAGTATATAAACAACAGAGATGAAAACCTAACAGAAATAAGAGAATTTTTAATACCAATTGGCAACCTTTCTTTCAGATGGTGATTAGAACAGAGTCTCAAAAATTAAAGTCCGAGTACATATGAAATTTAAGCACCAAAATATATAGAAATGGTGTATTGACCTTGTGTTGTCTCAAAATTTCAGCTCAAAATATTGAGTCGTTTGGACGTGAACGTCAAAACTGCTTATCTGGACACGTAACCCTTTTAAGATTTCGGGTTAATTTTTTCGATGGGTGACCTGATAATCGATTCCCGTTTCTTGAGGTCTATACAGTGAATGACCTTTTGTGCTGTACTTGATAGCGGACGGTAAATGTCACCTACACATTATTTTTATAAAAAAAGGTCTGGTTTTATCCAGGCGCCATATAATACAGTTTGGGACACCGGTCTCCATTTCCAGATGAAGACTGACGGATTTAAGTTGTTTGCAAATGTATCGCAAATATTGAGTTACTTGCTCGGCCCATAGGTAGAGGGTTTTAAGGCATTTTAACACAAAATTAAGCTGTTTTATTCTCAAAAAAATTATCAGGATTGGCCCTTTAACGTATATTTTTTCCAGATTTTTTTTTGAGGTAGTCAGTTGTAAATCTCAATTTACACAAAATTGGTCCACTTGACATGGAATGACCATAAAGATATATACTGAGCGCCATGGAAAACGCATCACTTTTTTCCCAAATATTTTATTACTAGGTGGTTTTGTATGTATAATATTATGCAATACTATGAACTATTGTTTCACACAATGCTCCCAAACGCAAAAAATATCGGCCTGTGTGCAAAAAAAAAATTGCACGAGATGTACATGAAAAACCCAATATTCATGTGCAGCATTGTGTGTGAGCCTTTAAAAGCATGTTTTCAACTTAATGTGCAGTACATGAACTGTGAAACGTCAAATCTGTCGTAATTTGTTGTTGGACGTATGAAGGAATCGAGCTAGAGATGCCGAAACTTACTGAAAATCAACGGAATGAAGCCATGGGAATGTCCAGGGCTGGCATGTCTACACATGCTATTGCCAGACACTTCAATTGACATCAGTCCACTATTGTAAGGTTGGTGGAATGTGTTCGAGTTACTGGATCAACACGTGACCGTCAACGTCCTGGTCCACAACTCGTTACAACCCAGGCTCAAGACCGCTACATCTGGATCACTCATCTGCGTGACAGATTCCGCCCAGCGACTCAAACAGGTGCAGCAGTCGTCAGAAGACAAGGACCAGTAAGTGCCAACACCGTAGGACTCCGTGCACGACGACCTTATGTTGGATCTATCCTCAGGGATCATCACCGTCTGCGGCCTTTGATATGGGCTCAAGGACACCAGACATGGAGAAGAGTAGACTGGCAAAGTGTGCTCTTCAGTGATGAGAGTCGCTTTCATCTTTATCACACTGATGTCCGTCAACGTGTGTGGAGACGTCTTGGGGAACGTCTTGCAGACTGCTGCGTCTTCGGAATGAATCGATGGGGTGGGGGAAGTGTAATGGTGTGGGGAGGCTTCACATTTCATCACCGGACCGCCCTACACATTTGCAGGGGTCGCGTTAATGCTTTAGCCTACCGTGATGATGTCTTGCAACCAATTGTTGTTCCGATGTTTCGAGCGCACCCATAGCTTCAGCACTTCCAACCGGATAATGCACGTCCGCATACTGCCCGTTTTAGTATGGACTACCTGGCTGCTAACAACATCAATGTCTTGGACTGGCCAGCCATGGCTCCGGACATGGCACCGATAGAACATGTCTGGGATGAGATTGGACGCCGTCTGTATCGGAGACCACAGATGCACACCATTGCTGCTTTAGAAGCTGCTCTTGTCCAAGAATGGAACAATTTGCCCCAGGCCTTCTTTCAAACCTAGGTAAATTCCATGGATGTCGCTGCACAGCGTGCGTAAGAGCCCGCGGAGGACACACATGCTACTGACATCTGTGTCGTACTTTTGGTTTTGACCACTCTGACTTTGTACCGTTGATTAAAGCAAAATAAATAAGATGTTTACAGGATCATTTTGTTATACAAAAAACTAAGTGATGCGTTTTCCATGGCGCTCAGTATATTATGCGAGCTTAAGAGAAAGAGCTGGCTGTTCTTGCTATACATACAGTATAATAATTTAAAAGTTTGATGAGAAATGAATGTTTGATGTTTTGACAAGAAATAGCAATGAATTGCTGACCATTGGCAAATGGAAACTCTGCCCAAAGTTGATATTCACAACTGTTAAGTACCGTACCATTGCCAAGATAAAAAACAAAATTTCAATTACCAGTCCCCTTATGTGTGTATAGGCAATTTCTGGCCATATTAGCATTTAACACAGATATGACAGACTTTGTCCAATCCACTCAATATCTAAGCCATTCGATGATCTAGAGTGTTGATTATGGGCATGTCATGTGAATGATGTCTAAATGATAAATTTATATAATGTTTGAAGGTATCAAAACTCCCGGCAATAAACAGATTTAGCCCTGGCATAAGGTTAAATAAATCAAAGCATCTGCCCAGAGGCAATCATATGTCCGGCCTATCTCAATTTTTTGTAGTAAAGTTCTGAACTGAACTATATAATCACAGTCTATATAAATTAGTTTATCTATTGGTGGGTACACAAAGGGCAGTGTGTGAATGTCTCACTTTTGATATGTCTTACAATTTGAATTTATCAATAATAACACTTCATGATTGCTTATTAATGTTAATGTTTTAAAATTAAATTATTTGACACTCTGTTATTATCTATCAGATATTTGTTTTCAATCTGTTTCTAAACCATCTTAAATTGACTGTTATTATTTCAGTGAAGTTCTAATGTAGCTACTGTATAGTAAGAATGCCACATATGACAATAACTGAACTTTCTTGATCATATATGAATTAAGATATGTTTTTTTAACTTGTTGACACTGTTTTTATTGGAGGCTTTCAAATGTTTTAATGTATTTTAGACTAAAGATGGCCCAGACTGGAAAAGAAGGCAACAAAAAGGTTTTATTTAATATATCGGAATCAATAGATGCAGAAGAGGACTCGGGTCTGCCTGAAGCTGAAGCGGACCAACATCAGAATAATGCTGTTAAAGATGATGCATCAGATTCTTCACATTTTTCTAGTCCAGAAGCACATAATCCACCTAAACCAGGCATGAGGTCAGTTTTTATTGTAATATATTGCCTGAAGCGATCAATCTTTCTTTAGCGTGTCATATTAGTTCTTGGAGTTCACTTCTTTTAACCTTCAGATTTCCAGAGTCATAGATCTCTCAAACCAAAAATACAAATCAACCTAGAGACAGTTTAATATCAATAATTTGATATTTGCTATTAAAGAGCAGCGTGATTACATGTCAAATAGAACTGTGTTTATTAATGTCAACTTACAATTTCATTTGAAATTTAAAAGTAGAAAATATCAACAAATTTAACAGTTTGTATGTACTATGAGAAAATACTTGAAAGTTACATTTACCAATTAGCTAAATATCACAGACGGAAGTAGTATAGGCCTATTACTGTTGATGTCTATTATTGCATCTCTAATCTAGATTTACAGTAACAGAACTCAGAAGTATAAAAAATTAGATAAAGCGTCGAGATATTCTATGTGAACAGAAAATCATGCTCTCAAATCTTAAATAGCGAGGAATATACATGTATTGGTGTCAGCTCTCTCAAATCGAAAGCCATGTACTGTCATCACACCAATAGGTGTGATAGCAAATATAGTATAGCAAATATTGTCTGCATGCATGCATGCATGCATCACAAGCTTTATATCATAATGACTTTTTTACAACTTTAAGATAATCACAAAGAAACCAGTGGGTGTTGGAATATTCATGTAGTACATCTACATGCACTGAGGCCAGCTTTATCATGGTTTGATCTTAATTTTGATTTATCTTCAATATGTTGATGTTAACACAATGACTTATCTAGGGTATATTTATTATCTTGATTATCTAAAGACATAATATTACATGTTTAAAGGGACTATCCCGATTTCAAGAGAGTCTCAAAAATAAAAGTCGGAGTACGTATTTCACCTACTCATTATTTTTATAAAATAAAAGTCTGGTTTTATCCAGACACCGCATAATACAGCTTGGGACACCGGCCTCCATTTCCAGATGAAGACTGACAGGTTTAAGTTGTTTGAAATATTGAGTTAATTGCTCGGCCCTAGAGGATTTTAAGGGATTTTAACCCAAAATTAAGCAGTTTTATTCTCCAAAAAATATTGGGATTAGCCCTTTAATATAAAGTGATTATAATGCTGATAATATAACTTCTTATGGATTTGTCTGTTATATCAAATACCTTCTCTACAAAGAATTTGTTGGCATGATTATTGAAAGATTAAGTCTTATGACATTTAATACAATAGTTAAAAAAAAATATGAAATGAATTAAAATTTTTATACAGCCACATTTTCATGTGAAAGTATATTGTTGTCGCCCCTGTCCGTTTGTGGACTCTCTACAGGTCACAATTTTTATCTGATTTTGGCGACACTTAAAATATAGGTTTATCTTCCAATGATCTTGGTTGCTTTCGATATTGGCATGTATCAGACTCTAACTTCATGGCCCCTTCATTTTTAGCTTGTGGACACTCTAGAAGTCACAATTTTTATCTGATTTTGATGAAACTTGAAATTTTTGTTTATAACCCAAAGATCTTGGTTCCTTTCATATATTTGCGCATATTGGACTGTAACTTCCTGCATTATGGCCCCTGATTGTACGCAAAATTGTGTTTTTATACACCCACATGGAAATGTGGTCATATATTGCCGTCGCCCCCGTCCGTCGGTCTGTCGTCCACACACTCTACAGACTACATTTATCATCTGATTGTTTTGAAATTGATATGTGTTGTTTGCATTACTGAGATGAAGAAGCCTATTTAATTTCAATAACTTCCGTTAATTTCTTCTGAAATTTGTTGCACCTTGGGAACGTTCTAACGATAAACGTTATCAACCGATCTGTATGAAATTTATATGCATCATTTAAATTAGTAAAGCAAAGAAGCTTATTGAATTTCAGCAATTTCCTTTAATTACATCTAGAGTTATGGCCCTTGTTTCCCTTTGTTGACTCTTGTGAATGCTCTAATGACAACAGTTATCATCCAATCTGTTTGAAATTGATATGCATCATTTAAATTAGTGAAACTAAGAAGCCTATTGAATTTCAGCAATTTGCGTCAATTACTTTTAGAGTTATGGCCCATGTTTTACTTTGTTGAAACTTGTGAATGTTCAAATGACAAAAGTTATCATCTGATCTGTATGAAATTTATATGTATTATTTGAATTAGTAAAACGAAAAGCCCTGTCGAATTTCAACAATTTCTGCAGATTACTTCCAGAGTTACGGCCCTTGACCACTTGGATGATTTAGCTGCTGTGGGCGTATGTTTTGTTGCCTGGCAACCTATCTTTAGCTTGTGGACCCAGTAAATGTCACAATTTTTATTTGATTTAAAAAAAAATGTTTAAATGTATCACTGTTACACCATAATGAGGGTCAGTTCGAATTTCGTGAAAATTGGATCGAAACTACCAGACAAAATGGCTGCTCCACGTACGCCAATAGTGTAACACTCTCCACACAAGTCTTGCTATCCAGCATTTGACTCTGCCCCCGGCTCATGCACTACACTGGTTGACCTAGAGGTCATTGGTCATGTGATTGACTATATGATGAAAATGACATCTGTCAGAAAAGTTCCTGGCGTTATAAACACTTGATGAGTTTTAGTCAATTTTAGGGGAAAATATCATCAATTATTACCCCTCCGAAAGAAAACAGTCTAATTTTGCATGTTTCGTGTGTAAATGTATCAGGCCTTACGATAGCATTATAAAGGTAAACAAATCCACATGTGTTATCTTCTAAAATTAGCACGACGACATGTGCAGTTCGTATTTCCGACCATTTAACCCGGTAATCTTATGCGAAAGAGATCGCTGTAATATTTGTAAATACATTGTTACTTTGCAATTGTGACCCCACTTCTATTTAAATATGGTAATAGTATAAAAATATATTATCATTTATTTGTTTTAAATCGTATTGTTTGTCATTGTCCATCAACACGAAGAATCTTGGTGGCGTAGTCAAATGAGCCATTAGCAAAGATAGTTTGGACTGCAAGGGAAGACAACTCTGTTTAGGAGATTGATAGTGTAAAAGTAATACTAATACCAAGGTTGTGGACTCTCTAGAGGTCACAATTTTTATCCCATTTTTATACACTCACATTGGAAATGTGGTTGTATATTGCCGTCGCCCCCGTCCGTCCGTCGTCCACAATTTCTTGTGAACACTCTACAGACTACATTTATCATCTGATTGTTTTGAAATTGATATATGTTGTTTACATTAGTGAGATGAAGAAGCTTATTTAATTTCAATAATTTTCGTTAATTTCTTCTGGAGTTATGGCCCTTGTTTCACTTTGTTGAATTTTGTGAACGCCAATGACAAAAGTTATCATCCGATCTGTATCGAATTTATATGCATCATTTAGATTAGTGAAATGAAAAAGCCTATTAAATTTCAGTAATTTCCTTTAATTACGTCTAGAGTTATGGCATGGAATTTATATGCATCATTTAAAGTAGTGACACGAAGAAGCCTATTGAATTTCAGCAATTTCCGGTAATCATGTCTAGAGTTATGGCCCTTATTTCACTTTGTTGAACCTTGTGAACACTCCAACGACAAAAGTTATCATCTGATCAGTATGTAATTTATACGCATCATTTAAATTAGTGAAACGAAAAAACCTATTGAATTTGAGTAATTTCCTTTAATTATGTCTAGAGTTATGGCCCTTGTTTCACTTTGTTGAACATTGTGAACGCTCTTAACAACAAAAGTTATCATCCGATCTATTTGAAATTGATATGCATCATTTAAATTAGTCAAACGAAGAACCCTATTGAATTTCAGCAATTTCTGTTAATTAAGTCTAGAGTTATGGCCCTTGTTTCACTTTGTTATTGTCCTTGTTTCACTTTATTGAAAGTTATCATCCAATCTGTATGGAATTTATATGCATCATTTAAATTAGTCAAACGAAGAAGCCTATTGAATTTCAGCAATTTCCGTTAATTAAGTCTAGAGTTATGGCCCTTGTTTCACTTTGTTATTGACCTTGTTTCACTTTATTGAACCTTGTGAACGCTCCCAACAACAAAAGTTATGAAATTTATATGCATCATTTAGATTAGTAAAACAAAGAATCACATTGAATTTCAGATATTTCCGCTAATTTCTTCTGAAATTATGGCCCTTGTTTCACTTTGTTGCGCCTTGTAAATGATCTAACGACAATAGTTATTATCTGATCTGTATGAAATTTACACAGATCATTTAACTCTTAAATGACCCAGAGGTTTGACTTCATAACGTCATAAAAACCCACGAAAATTATAATCTGATCAGTATGAAATTGTCTTGTAAATAAATACCCCCAATTATCGACAAAAGAATAAATGTGAGACAACCCTTTGTCGACCAGTCGGACGATTTAGCTGCTGTGGGCTTATGTTTCGTTCCTGAATTATGTCCCCTGATTGTACAAAAAATCGCCTTTTTTAAAGCTCATTCTCTGACCATCTCTTGCAAAATGTGGGCGTAACTTGCTGTGTTATATTTCTTTCAGTACCTGTCTATACTAATATTTGTGAATGTTTTTTGTTTGTTTGTCTGTCTGTTCAGGGTTGGCAGCAACACTAGGGCTGTCTCGAGGCTGAAATTTGGTGTATAGGGGTAGCTCGGACAGGGGAGTAACATAGGCCTGGTTTTCATTAACAACACAGCTATATCTACTTCTGGCATAGTGAGATGGTTCCTGATCACTGATCAGTTCAGGAAAAAGTATTGCGTATTTGGTTAGAGTTTTGTCATTAATAAACATACTTGTTATCGTGATTGGCTGTTGTTTTAGTGATCAGTAATTACACGATCAACAGATCTAAGTTGATTAACTTGAAATTGATACTTCTATCATTCGTGATTTGTTGCCGTTGTTTAGTGATTAGGCGTAAGGCTACACGTTAATCAGTGGAAACCATACAAATTGATGATTGGCTTGAAATTGTCAATTAATTCACCTCCAAAGACAGATTAAG